TAAAAATGTAATAAAAGATTGATGAGAAAAAAATTAAATTAAAAATAATCAATACTAATTTAAAAAATCAATTAATTATTTTTTTAAAAAAATAGACTATTTAATTTATTTTACAAAACTAATTTACCATTTACTCCCCATCTTACTAGTCGCTTCTACAATGCCTTCATGTTCATGTCGAGCAAAGCACCGCCCAAGGGCTCGGCGCTTGTGAGTGGTCTCGGGCCAAACGTTACGGGTCTAAAAAACAATCGAATACCCAAAAAAAAAAAACCGGATAGACAAGTTTGGATAGATGATAGAAGTCATGTGTGCTTAAAAACCTCTAGTTTCGTCATGAGATCTTCTAACTCGCCTACTTCAAGACTAAAATATACCGCCACTTGCACGAAATTTTGCTATATTTGTAAATGAAACTAAGATAGATGTCAAGAACTGGATTTCAACATGTACATTTCGGACGGTTTGATGGCAATTACGGAGTATTCAAGGTAAGACCACATGATTGTCAAGTATCGGCTAAAGGGATTTTGCTAATTAAGCTAGCCGGGTCAATATTACATGTTAACGGACATAGTTTTCAATTCGGACAATCGATTATCTTAGACTCCAAAAACTACGTACTCGAAGTCTCGGAAAGCAAATAAAGCACAGAATAATTTCATAGCATTCAAGGCGAGTCTAGCTTAGATCCTATCGGTTTTATTATCTTCGATGCAATCCAAAGTAGTGAACTCTTTCTCCTATGCTCATCTTTGGTTTAGGCCTAAACTACAAACAATGTTCTATTAATCTTTTTCTTTTTGATAATTGGGATTCTATTTTTCTTTCTCTGTGATTTTTCAAGTATCATGCATATAAATAAGATCACTCAGCATCTTATAGCTTCTCTACCTGTACAAACTCTCATGCGGCGTGAGTCATGCATTTTAGACGAACAATACGAATATTAGATTCACCTTAGAATGACTGCAACGTAAAAATTAAAAATTAAAAATTCCCACCTAAGAGCATTTGACAGCTTCTCTGGACAAACTACTGACCTTGATGTTTCAACCCCTCAACGTAATCTTAATCAGAAAATGATCTTCAGTACCTATGCCTTAATCCGTACATCCTAATGAAGGAGAAAAAATGTATTATAAACTTTCCTCTTTCATAGATAAAAAATTCAATATATATATATATATATATATATATATATATATATATATATATATATATATATATATATATATTAGGAATTGACCAAAAGAACAGCACTCTTTGATTTTCAACCAATTCGTAATATTAAATTTCATACACATCAGAAAAATTATTATTATTATTAAAAAAAAAAGAGCATTGACACTATCAAATACAAATTCAATTTTAATGAATCCAAGTTCAAAAATCTTCTATCTAAAAAAAAAAAAAAAAAAACCATGTGCAAATCACCACTTACCTAAGCAGTCATGAATAGAAAATGAAAACCCATCATCTGATTTTAACTTACATTAACACAAAATGATGTTCAATGTGTAAAGAATCCAAAATCAGATGGATGAAGAAGATCTGAAGAATCCAAAACAGTAACACCTTATCTTTTTACACTGCAGGTATAATCTCCTCAGTCACAGAACCAAAAGTTAAGAGAAACCCAAAATGGTGTTCAATGTCTAAAGAATCCAAAACCAGATGTATGAAGAACTGAAGGGTCCAAAACAGTAACAAAAAACCCAGCTGATAAAAGATCGGATATTGAAATTGGGAAGCAAGTAGAAGAGCAGAGATTGAGATTGAAAAAAGCTCAGAGATTGAAATTGGGCAGCAGGCTGAGATTGAGATTGAAAAAAAGGAAAAAAAAATTGGACCATTTCTCGATTTGTGCGTGTCATCCTTGCGCAGGGGCCATGCTAATCTTCTCTGTATCTGTTTTTCCTTCATAAAGTGCTCAGCTTGTCTCTAATCAAATGATGTGGGATTTCTCGTCCCGTTGCAACGACACGTTTTGCTTAGTTTGGTTCGCTCTCAACTTTGGTTACGTCACTCACCCGCACTAGATTTGCTTAATTAATGGGCTTAACTTCATCATTTGGCCCAATTCAAATATTTGATTTAAATAAAAATAGAAATAAATTAACAACAAAAAATTTTGATGTTTCAAATTGCATTTTGCTTAATTTATTAATTACGTAATATAAATTTAAAGTTTTTTATTTAGATATTTTTATGATTAATTAGAATTAGAAAATTAACCAATTAATAAATGTATTTTTTCCTTCAAAATCATGAAGAAATATGGCGACTCTCTAAGTATCAAATATATGACCACACTACAACAGCAATAATAATAGTAAAAGTTATAGTTTAAAAAGAGTTGTTTTGTATTTTATCATATTCTCACGAATCTCATATTTTGAAAACATACTATGGAATAACATTCGTAAATATATGATACTCAATCTCATGGACTTAATTTTATAGAATTACTTTCGCAACAAAACAACTCACTAATTTTATATTTTGTCATCAAAGGACAATGAGTTAATTACATTTTTTTATACCAACTTATTAATTTTTTATTTTATTTAATTGAACGTGTGCTTTTTAATTTTTTTTCTTTTTCAATAGACTAAGTTGTTATTTTTTTTTTTAGTGTTTTTGTTAACTTTGTGATGATGCCGTTATTTGCATATGAGAATTGCGTGTGCAATCTAATGGATCAACATTTGATATTGATGTGATGGACACATGGCAATGAAGTTTATTGTTTTTTTTTCGTGTACCAACGTGTCAATTTTTTATAATTGAATATGTGTTTTTTAATCTTTATTATTTGAATAGTTCAAATTATATATTTTTTTATTTAAATATTTTCCTTAACTTTGTGATGACACATCTGCTATCTGCACATGTGGACCGTCATGTGGAATCACGTGGCAATAACAATGATAAGCACAACCATTAAAATTTACTACTATTTAACATAACATTATATGAACAAAAAAACAAAAACAATTCTACAGTTAACAAATAAGAAATTTTTTTTTCTTTTTAAGCTAAACGGAGAGGAAAAGTTGGTTAAAGTCTAAATATGATGGATAAAACATTTATTAAATCCTTATAACAACCTGCATGATTTAAATTAACATTTATGAGTGGCTAAACTTTATTTATTTATTTATTATTTATTTTATTTTTTTTGTGAGAGAAGAAAGGCATTTATATAAATCAGCACCCAGTAATTTATCAAATGACCAGCTTATTTTTTCTAGTTCTCAAAGTATAATAGAAGCATTTCCAAAAAACAAAAAATAAATTGGTCCAAGGAAATGATAAGCTCCACTAAGCGAGAAGAATATTTCAATTTAACACTACCAACATTGTGAAGGTAAAGAACATTTTCTTCAATTAAGCGAGAAGAAAATTTTTCTTTTAAAATTTGGACAAAATATAAAGTTTTATGAGGCAAGATTTTAATTTTCACACCTGCTAATCTAAGTCATCTCACACATTGAAAGTTTTTACAACATACTGCTCGTAGACATTTTTATTTTCAGAGACATTAGCATCCGATGATGGATCCAACACCCACAAATAACAATATTTTTAACAAGATTTCCCCCATATATGCGCTTTGCAATAATGCAATTGAACGATTCAATTTATATTCCTTGCATGCAATTTCTTGAATAGAATTTTTCTCAAAATCATTTTATACTCAGTATAAGTCGCACCAGCTTATAATTCTTTTAAAATTGAATTAATGAGTCATGATTTGATGATTACGTTGTCTTGAATTCATGATTGAAATCTTAGAATTAATAATGAGTTTGGCTAACGAGCCATCCACAAACCATGCTTTATTTTTTGATAGAAGAGCATTGAAAAAATTAATCTTTTATGCAAAATAGTTTTTTTTCATTCTCGCTCAAAAATTGTATAAGAAAAATCAAATCTCTAAAAGATACAAATAGAATGATATTTGATTATCAACTACGATATTTGATATATTAATAATGGACATCAAATCACACTTGTTGTTAAAAGAAAAAAAAATCATAAACAACACTGTGATACCATAAAGAAAATGCGAAAAATATAATTATGTGTTTTATTATGTAGGAATATAAAAAAGATTTATACAACTATTTAGCAATTAGTTATGCTAAAATTTAGGCTAATTAGGTTAACCATTTTCTATAATGAAGTTATGAAATATAGAATTATCTATATGTAGAAGGATATATTTGATACAAAATTAATATTCCATAATAATGATAAAATATTTTGTATTAATCATGAGATAATTTTCGTTATTAAATTCTTCATGAGAAACTCTTTCATTTAACAGTTTTTTTTTCTTTTTTTGGCGTCGAGGGTCATTTTTGTTTGACGTGAAGGGCGGTTTACGATATTATTTCTTTTTTTGGTTTTTATTTTTTATTTTTCTTCGTAAAATAAAGACGATATGGTAATTGGACTTAAAAAGTATATTTATATGTTGTAGAGCACATGATAATAAAAAAAGCATCTGGATCTTTCAAATTAATTTTGGCCATGTGTCAATCTCAAAGAGACAAAAGCATTGAAAGGGATTGTTCATCCCAACATGATGAAAGCATTCTGGACCATCAAATTTAAATAAAGAAAATTTCTAAGAAGAAAAGGAATTTCGTTCATTAGACAAAGAAAAAAATAATTGAGGTTACAATAATATAATAAAATCACATTTCTGCCACCAGGGATCAACTTTGATACATAATTTCAAGAACTGATCATCTATTACAACCTAGATTTATGTTGGTCCAACAAGAATCCAACATCACAAAAACTCAAATATAAAGTCACCATCTTCTTCTTCATTATTGATATAATCATAATCAGTACCGTATAGCTTTTATCGATCGTCATTATAACCATCTATAATTTCTTGAATCTTCAAGCACTGAATCAGTATCTCCTCCCCTCCCGACTGGCCTCCATGGGAATTTCCCCAACTTTCCATGATCAAATTATTACGAAGACACTTCAGCGTCAGTAGTCAAATGGTCCAACATCTCCGTTGCCGAAAACCAAGCAGCTCCGTACTCGGCGCCCCAGTTCATGTCCCTATCATGTGACTTTACCTTATGGGATCCTTTGGTCTTGTCCTTGGACTTGCAAGTTGGGTGCATGTGACACCCTGTGCACCTTTGCTTACTGCATTTTCCTGTGAATTTAGAGTGGTTTGTGGGCTTTGATGGCACCTTGGCGAACAATCCGGCTGTCGGAAGTGTATCGAACTTGTTGAATTTGTTGTCTAAAGCCTTAGGGTTCCATGGAGATGACAAGATCCTGTAGGTCCTAACCATTCCATGAGGGCGTCCCTCTCTCTTCATCTTGCTTACTTCGGATTGTGGGCTTGATCAATTTGGAAGGTAAAATAAAAAAGGTCTTGATGATGAAGGACAAGATGTTGGCTTTCAATTTATAGAGGGTAATTAATTGAGTCGGCATGATAAAAACTTGAGGAGCAAGGAGTATTTGTGTCCAGAAAGAAAATTAGAATCGGTGTGATAAAAACTTAGGGAGCAAGGAGTGTTTTGTACCCAGAAGGAAAATTAGAGTCGGTGAGATAAAAACTTGGGGAGCGAGTATTTTGTATCCCGAAAGAAAATTGAGAAGTAAATTATAAATTAGTCCCTCTAATTTTTTAAAATCAATTAAATGTTCTTTGTATCAATTACTAATTAATAAATTTTATATTTTTAAATCTATCTGTAAGTTAATTATTTTAATTCTTTTTAAATTTATTTTATTTTTAAATTAAAAAAATGGAAAGATAGATGAAGAAAAAATTAGAATAAATTAATATAAATTAATTGTGATCGATATATATTAATCAAGAAACTAATTAATTAGTTTTGTAAACAAAATGCACTATTTTATTTGTTTTGCAAAACTAAAAAGACTAATTTGTAATTTACTCTAAAATTGGGCTGCAAGGTGTGAAGTGAGTCAATAGATGTAACGATCGTGTTGACCAAGTTAATTATGGAGATTAACTCATTTTAAGAGTAAATTATAAATTTAATCCCTTGAGTTTTTCAAAATAAATTAAACAGCCCTTTATTTTCAAAAATAATTAATTAATCTCTATGTTCTTAAATCTATTTGTAATTTAATCTTTTTTATTTTTTTTCAATTTATTTTTAAAAAACAAAAAAGGAAAAATAAGTAAAAATATAATAAAAGATTGATGTCAAAAAAATTAAAATAAAATAATATTAAATTAAAAATAATCAATCCTAATTAAAAAAATCAATTAATTATTTTACAAATAAAATAGACTATTTGATTTATTTTACAAAACTAAAGAAACTAATTTACAATTTACTCCTTATCTTAGTAGTCGCTTCTACAATGACTTCGTGTTTTTGTCGAGCAAAGCATTGCCCAAGGGCCTGGCGTTTGTGATTCCTGTCGAGCCAAACGTGCAGGCCCGTTAGTTTTTGTTTACATGTGTTTTTTCTTCTTTTTTTTTTCTTTTTTGAAAAGTATTGATTTATCAAAAATTTTATAACTCCCATTCATTTTTTAAGTAATATCCGATTGTTTGACTTTCGTTGAAGAACAACAATATTCAATAAAACAAGCATATAATTAAAAAAAACACATTAAATAAGTGTAAAAATTATAAATTATAAATAGAAATTAACCAGAAATTATTGAAAAGAAAAATGATTTTAGGCTATTTTGTTTGTTGATATTATTATTATTATTATTATTATTATTATTTGGACAGAGATATCCCTCAAAAAAAGTAAAGAAGAAAAATGCAGTTGACTTCAAATAAAGGCAGAATCATTCATCGGTATGGGTGCATGTTTCTTGTTACATCATCACAGATAATTGAAAATCATTCTAAAATAGCATTATGAAAAAGTTATGTGTGAAGTTTCGCTTTGTCTAACATAATTCTTTCATGTAAAATGCTGCTGTTAATGGTTTTGTTGAAGCATTCAACAAAACACTTTGTAATCTTTCAAAGAAAGCTGTTTCAAACACTACAAAAAATCCGACATATAGCGATGGAATTTTTGGTCACTATATGTTAAAAATCCGTCGCTATATATAATTAACTATGGATTATAGATAATATGGTTTCGTCGAAACGTTTTTTCGTTGCTAATTATTGAATTTTCGTTGATAAATCGATCTAAAATAGTCGTCTATAAGGTCTTATATCTATCGTTATATTGTCGTTATTTTCACTCACATTCATTGCCAAATAAAGATGGAATGGGTGTCAATAAATCATAGTTGTTGAGATCCTCATAATTCCTTTTGCTAAATCCGATGCTTTAGTGATCATATATGTATCCATTGCTAAATATCATATCAATTGCGTCACTAAACGAATGATTTTTTTAATCAATAGTTGTATATTGTTAATTGTAATAACAAATAACTATAAATAATACCTTATTAAAATATGATATATTATTTAATAAAATTAAAATAAAATAAACATATAAATGCATTAAAATTTACAAAAATATTAAAAACCTTTTTAAAAGAACAAGAAGTTTAGTCCTTATTATCACAATCTTCTACGTCATCTTTCAACTACCGGGTGTTGAGAAGAATGACTAACTACCGAGTTATGGGAGGGTCGGCAGAAGGGACACGAGGCCGCTCGTAGGTTCCGTAACAACCCCATCACTCGTTTACAACTAACTCGTATGGAGCTAACTTCACCGACTTGTTGTTGGATGGTAGCCCCCATCTCCTTGATCTTATCTTCGTACCGGGCAAAAACCCTTTGGATATTACCATCGGGATACCGCCAAGTGGTAGAGGAGGAGCTAGCGCCAAAATGTGAGTAACACTAGGATGCATAAGTTTTAATGTCATACACTCTTTGCTTCTTTTCCCCTTCGATAGTATCCAAATATATTTTGGACATTTCGATATCTAGAGACAATGAATCACCCTTATGCCACTCCTTAGCGGTTGCTTCTTGTATTGAAAACATGCACTCCTATGTCGTTGAAATAATTATAATATTAAATGATAAATATATTTTTTAGATTATGTGGATAGATGTATATATGGTTAAAAAATTTGTATAAAACCTTACCATTATTGTATGCGACCGCTTGTTGACAAATGTCCCATCTTTCTCGCTCGTGAGTGATCATGAACAACTCGTAAGGATTTGGTTTACGACCCAATTTATTATACTGAAAAAAATAACTAAAATAATATGAGATGAAATAAATATAAAAATTAATTTATAACATAATGGATAATATAAGATTTACCAAAAGCTCAAGCATGCTCGATCAAAGAGATGGATCCTCTAGTATGCTTGGATAGGTTAGCATCGACACCACCTGTCTCGGACATGTAGTTTCAAGATGCTTACTAAGATAGGGCCTAATACTCGGGAGTGACCCAATCCTATCGCTACGATTCCTACACCTCCTATTTAAGAAGCACATGTCCGTTATCCTTATGCTTCAACTTGTTAAGCATGGTGCCGTATTGCCTTCGTGTCGACTCTCCCACATATCCTTAATCGGTGCATCGATGGTCGCATCCCATAAAAAAAGAATTCTACATGAAGGAAAAAATTGATATTAATACTTTTCATGCTAAATTAACACTTTAAATGAAATATAAGTAAATAAATAAATGTTATCCTAAACTCATTAAAGTAGAAGTTTTTCATCTCCATAAAGACGAGACTTCCATATGGAGCCGGATACGTTCAACATCTTGAAAATTATGGTGATTTTTGTGAAGCACTTACTTGATGGAATCAAACTCGTTGAACAAAACAAAGAAATAATAAATAAATGATTAATGATTCCAATATAATATATGAAAAATATAGTTTATATTTTTGGTTTTTTAAGTTTTTCTATTTGTTTTTTTAAAATATTCAAACTTGTTTATTTGGCTACCTTTTTTTTTATTTTTTTAAATGCATTTAATTTCAATTTGATACTTGAGTTATTAGAATTGATTCTTAGGCTCCTCGGACTCAAAACTAATGCCCCCGACCTAATCTATGATAGTCATAGACCTAATCTTGAGCCTACATCTTAAAACCTTTTACTCGATCTCGGCTTACTCCTTAGGATTCCAAACTCAACCCTCAAATATGGCCATGTACATCATAGTCTCGATCCTACTTTTATCATGGGCACATTGGATCCGATTGAGATTTGAATCTTGAATGTTTCGGACCTAATTCTAGCCCCAACCTAAATTCTAGATGACTAGACCTAATTTCCTAACTCCTCGAACCTTGTTCTCATCCAAACCCTAAAAGTTGTGAACTAAGTCCTAACTCGAAGGCCAAGAGCCCCAAACTATGTCTCGAATCAAGTCTCTAGGGCTTTAGATCCAGTCTCAACTCGAACCTCAAGTGCTTGGGATGTGGTGCTAGCCCGAATCCTACGCATCTCAAACCAAGTGTCAATCCAAATCTTGGTTATAATCACATTCATTTACCGACTATCAAGCCCAACCTAATTCCTAAAACATATATTGATAGCTTAAAAAACTAGCTTTCAAAACTATTTTTTTTAAAAAAAGTTTTTGCTAGTTTTATTTTTTGAAAAACAAAAATTTATATCTTGTTTTATAAATTTTGTAAACAAAAAAAAGAAAAAAGAAAAAAGAAGCTAAAAACGAAAACGATACCAAACAATTTCTTAGAAAGCCAATGAAGTCGGTTTGGTTTGATTCGAGTGTTATTACATAATCAAATACCTAGTTGTCTCATTGCTCATAATTCAAATTAGTTGTTTAATTGGTCACTCTAGATATAGGTAGGTTGGATTAGCTTGATAATTAAAGAAGGATATTTTTTCTTGGTTTTCAAAGGTTTAAAATTAGGTTAAAATATGAAAATTTCATCTTGTAATGCTAATATGGATTGCTTATAAGCGAAAAAGGAGACTTGATTATCATATTTACCAAAAATGTAAAATTCTAGAAACCATATTGTTTTTTTATTATTTATATCAAATTAAGCAAATTACAATAAAATTTCATTGGTTCTATATGCTTGTTAATAGTGGTATCTATTGAATCAATTTTACCTTAACAATATCTAATTGAGTTTATTATATTTTTTTGCACAAAGTTGTCAATTTTTTATTTTTATTTTTTTTAAATGTATCAACTTTAATCTTTACTATTTAAATATATTAATTTGTAATTTTTTCTATTTGATTAATTTCGTTAACTTCTATTAATTTTATGCTAAGGTTGTTGTTAGCTACATACATGACAACAAATTGTGGGCTCCACTCTTAGGCACATGATAATGAAAAAAAAGTGTTTATTACATTTTTAGCGTACAAACTTATCAATTTTTTTCTATTTGAGTATGTAAACTTTAATCTTACTATTTGAGTATACCAACTTATAATTTTTTTTTATTTGAGTAGTTATGTTAATTATAAGCTTATGTATCTATTAATTGCATACGTGACACCATCATGTTGGTTCTATTGTCGGACATGTGGTAGTTTTCTAGGAAGCACTAATGCTCCAACCGCCAACTTCCAATCATCGTTAAAAACTAGTTCTACTAGTTCCAAAGCTTTTTGATTTTGAAACATAAATTGGCTGAATCTATATCATGTAAAGAATCTAGTATTTAATTTGATGTTTGGATAAACTATAAAGATGACAAATTTTGTTGTGGAATTTAGTGTTTTAGGATTTAGTTTTTCTACTAAAAATGAAAATGGAGTGTTGTCTTGATAAATGAATCCAGCCTAAGTTTTATTTATTTATTTTAAACTTCAAGGTTATTTTAAAAGTAATTCATTTTTTTTAATTATAATTTCTTATGTAAACCATAAATATCTTATTGTTGTTATGTAATTTATATGCATTTTTTTATTCTATGTGAGAATGAGAATAAATTTGTTTTATTATTATTTTTTTATTTTTTGTATATGCCATATGTCTAACGGTGAATCCATTTGGAGGTCCTATGTGTGCAATTAACGAGCACGTCGGCTTAGAGTTACAAGAATAACTCAACATATATATATATATGTTGAGTTATTCTTGTAACTCTAAGCCGACGTGCTCGTAATCGTGCGCATGCATGCGCGCGCACACACACACACACACACACACACACACACACACACACACACACATATATATATATATATAAAGATTGAAGCCTACACACTCAAAAAAAAAAAAATGACAAGTTTGTGCACTAAATATATAATAATTTTTTTCTTGGTATTCATGTGTTGACAATAGAGCTCAATAATTTCGTATTGTGCATGTAGTTAATGATCACATCCTCATAAAGTTACATAGAATCATTCAAATAGAAAAAGAATTACAAGTTGATATATTTAAATAACAAAATTAAAATTAACACAAATAAAAAAAAATAATTACTTTGTACACAAAAAGTATAATTAGCTAAGAACTAAAGATTCATTGTTGTCCTTTCATCATATTGGTAGAAAATCTATATCACTTATATAATTTTTCTTCAAGTGATTTCGATCATAATTTTTTATGCATTGTGTTGTCGATAAGAAAGGGTGAAATTGATTCAATCTTAACGAGCGTATAGATTTGGGGAGTAAATTATAAACTAGTCCTTCTATTTGAGAACAAGTAAATTAGCTCCTTTTGATTTAAAAACTAATTATTTAATTAATTGATCGGTGTTTCTCACATTTATTTTAATATTATTTTATTTCATAAAATATCATCTTTTCTTATCTTTTTTTTCATATTTTTTATTTATGTTTTTCATTTTTTTATTTCTTAAAAAAATTAGCAAAAATGATTAAGTTACAAAAAACAAATTTAAAAATATAAGCACTAAATAAGTTTTTAAAACAAGGACTAATTAATTCATTTCTCAAAATTAGAGGGAGTAATTTATATTTTACTCCAGATTTGGGCCATTTTTTAAATACAGATGTCTCTGCCATCCCAAAAGCTTGGCAGAAATTGTTAATTTATTATGAAAGCTTGTCAACCCATTGATCAGTCAAGATATAATCACATATTGCTGCTCCTTGATATCCCTATGGCCAGCAATATATGATGGTGGGGATACTGCTCCCACAAGAAAGCAGTACATAGCTAGACTCATCTCAATAGCTAAAGCAGTACCTAGCTAGACCCATACAAGATAGCCGAAAAAGGACTAGCCAGGCAACCAAATCTGATGCACGTCCAGTACCGTGCTTTGTCAGAACATCTGCACAACTGGGATTGTGCAGGAATTGAAATTCTCTGCATTTTGTTTTCAGAGTTGCACAAGAGCTTCTATGGAGACTATTAAATCCTTACCATGATTTTAAAAAACGAGAGTTATGTATATAACGATAATGAAACAACTCGTTACTATTTTTCAATGTCCTCAATGCTGTTTCCCGCCCATAACGATAGATAACGGCGTTACTTATTAGTTGCTATATAACGGCATTATATATAAAAAAATTTAACCTGTTGAAAAAAAAACCTGAAATGCAACTAAACATTTTTTTTAATCTTTTCTTGGTTTCTTTTTCTCTCAATTATTAATGAAAAAGAGGGACTTTTTTTGTCTTCTTTTACTTTCTTTCTCCTGCGGTTACTAATGAAAGGAGAGACATTTTTTTTGTCTTCTTTTGCTTTCTTTCTCCCAATTACTGAAATTATAATGTATTTTATTATTTTTCATGTGATATTAATCTATTGAAAGTGTTATTAATTATTTTTTATAATAAATTTAACTATTGTTATATGTCATTAAACTATTAGAGATATGATTACTTATTATTATAATAAAATTGTCAAAAAATGTGAATTAAAATAAATTTATTACCGAGTTGTTAATGTATTTACACAATTAACTGTCGTGACTTTTATTTTACGACCGTGATGAGCCGTAACCCGCGATCGCAACCGCGATTGTTTTTTCAACCGCAACCGCTATTTAAAACTATAATTCTAATCATCACTTCTGTAAGAGATTTGATTCTATATATCTGCGTTTTCTTAATGGACATGGGCTTAGCCAAATTGGGAAGTGCATCAAGCGCTTGATTGTCCACCCATCTTGGTCAATCATTTCTAATATATTAAATGTACATCTTGGTGACCAAGTTTTCAGAAAAAATGTTCGTAAGAATCATATAAGAGAATCAAACTAACAAACAGTTTCATTTTCTTTGCATGAATGATTCTCCATGTACAGAAGTAAATACAGCTATAGAGAAGAAACGGTGAGCGTAAAGATTGACTTGCGTTCCCACAATTCTGTATAACAGCGAGCGTAAAGATTGACTGGTGTTTACACCATTCTGTATATCTTGTCCTAATACAATACAATACGATATACACTCGAACTTACAAATTTCCTGACTCTGGGTCCTCAGAAGACCTATGTAGTGGCTCTGCCACATCTTTGTTGAGTTTGGAAGAGATGGAAGCTCCCTTGCCACGATATAGGATGAAGTGTTGACACATGAAAAGAAGGTCAAAGAACATGACTACCTGCCAAAATGTAATTCATCAAAACCAAAGAAATGAGAACTTAAGAGAAGGATATGAGATGGAACATACACTCACTGCATGTTATTTGTTTTTCAGAAAATAACTGCAATAGACAGACCGCATATGCTATGGAAAGAGTGTCAAGCCATATTACTAGCATAAGGCTGGCAAGTAACAGTTAAACGATTTGCGCAGGATATTAAAAGAAGATGCAGAATCGCAGAAGTTTTCTATACCAAACATAGCAACACCTTTCCTGCGTTGCCATAAAAGTTCACCCAAGAATCTGGCAAAAACAGTGAGATTAAATTAGCATCATGCAATAAACAGTTTCCCAAATGGCAAGATATTCCCTTCAGGAAGATATAACGCACTTTGGTCTATAGATTGCACAGCCATTTGGGCATAACTTGTCACCCCTCCAAGAAAATCAAGTAAAACAAATCCAATGCTGAAGCCGTTCGTGCTCTTTCGCATGAAGTTCATTGCTGCCTGTTTTCAAAGCAATGACAAGTAAGTTCGAGTTAGATTATGGAACGTCAAGTAAGAGTTCAGATACATTCTCAGGTATAAGGTAAAGAAGGGGTTAACTGGCAAATGAAAAATGTTCCAAAGATGAATATTTAGAACATATATAAGCTCCATCAATATGATTCTAATTGATTATTATACCACTTAACAAACATATCAACAGCAAATTTCCAAGGAAGCAAAGCTACAACATCTGTTATGTTAACGAGGATAAATAGCTAAATGGGACCTTAAAGAGCACAACCTAAATGTACATTAGGGTTTAAGTGGGTAATTAGATTGCAGGCTTTAAATATACTAAAATGGTTTGAGAGACATATCTCTCTTAAATTCTTTACTTTTCATTCTATTTTTATTTTTTAATTTTTTCTGTGTGCATTTAAATATAGAGTAGGATTGGCTTGTATTCTTGATGCTAAGTAGTGAAGAACATTATAAGTGTATGAAGGGGAGTTTTGGATGAAAGGCAGAGTGAAAATGTTAATGAAGCTTACTGCCAGTGTGATGGCAATTAATCTCTTACGGACTTCTTAATGACATGAAAGAGAAGCATTTCTGACCTGGGGTACATACTTGATTACAGTCATAAAAACTTGAATTGAGCTGCAGCAGTAAGAAATCAGAAAAGAATTTCAACAAGTGATTCACCAATCGCCACTTCAATGACAGAGTGACAAGAATAATAATAGATGGAAAAGAAAAAATCTTGATTTCTCATCAGTCACCACTATATCACATACTTATAATGCCTTGGTCATCATCACCCAAAGAAAAAGAAAAACGTCATGTGCCGGCAGCTAATATTAAGGTTTTTGCAATATCCTATGAATACGCCAAAAGTATGGTCCCTAAATAAAACTTGACTGGTTTTTGAGCTGATTTCAGGAGGAATTTCCTTCGATGCTACCATCAGAGTGAAGTTAAAAGAGTGGATCCCCTTTGGGGTGCTTAAGAAACTAAAAAAGCACTGGTATATACTCCACCATTTCAGAAAATTTCTGCATCCATTAACCTTTCCATCATTGATTATTCTAACCCCACCTTATTACCTTCCTCCTCAAGATAACAGCAACGAGTGACAGCACCACACCACTCTCTATGTAGATAAAAACTCTCAACATATTTAATACAGAGAGAGGAGTTCATTATTTTTTCTCTGTTTTGAACATCATAAGCTCACTGGAAAGAAATATAAATTAGAGAGGGTTACGGACAGATCAAAGAAAAGGGTCTGTAAACCAACTACAAAGTGGCAGAATTTGCACAATATCAGCAAATCAAAAGCAAAGAACATAGTTTCTGAAGAAACAGAGTGCTACACAAGTTATTTTTCAAAGGTAATAAATAAATGCCTACATAAGAATTAAGTTTGGAACAGTACAGTTTCCTATTAGAAGAAAATGTCAGAACTCCATCTTCAAGCAAAGCAGGGGTATCCAAATTCTCTAAAAACAGAGAATAGAAATCTAAAACAAACACTAACATCCAGCAAATAAGTTGCTCAAGCTCGAGTTCAGGATGCATTTTAAGGCACTAGTGAGGGCTTGAACAGGATGCCATGCAAACACTAATCCTTTCCTACCATTTCGTAGCAAAAATCTGATGAGGAAAACTTATTAATAGTAGTGTTTTTGCTATCTATGGTAATCCTTATTCTCACTAATACGGTCGAGGAAGTTAAATTATCATATCTTGAAGATCAGTTGAATCCAACACAAACGATATTTTCATGAATGGCGTCTTTTGATCAAGGTTAAGCATAACTTATTATTCAAAAAATTAAGGATGTAATGATCAAAAGACACCAAAAGCGCAGCTTACTTGAATATAGAGATGAGCCACAGCCACGAGTGGCTAGGAAAAGCTATAAAGAAACACACTCCAGCAGCTAACCATACAACACAGACAATTGATATGGAAATCTTGGAGACTTTTTGATCTCCACGCTGTTGAAAAAAAGAAGAAGAAGAATGATTATGTATTTCAGGCTCCGATACATATGTGATAAAAGAAGATTATGCATTAAATCGCAGGCATACCACTTACATCGTAGATTAGAATTTGAAACAATGTAATCGCTGTTACAAAAACAGCATGTACTGAAAAAGCAACATCATTTGCAGCTACAGGTATCATCTGCAATAAAATCAAATAAATAAATAAGCAAAATAAGACTAGTAACTCTCTCAGATCAGCACCTTGTTTATGCTTCTCAAATTCTACAAGAGCAGAGCAGCCAGCAGCTATAAAGCTTGCTTTTTTTAAAAAAGAAAAAAAAAGCAAGTATGAATCACTTTCATCTTCTGGGATCATCAAAATGAACCCAGAATTTGGTGATGGCCTCCAATTATTAGGAAGCCATCTCATCTCAACCACGTACCAAAGAATAACAATATAATAATAAATAGGAACTGAGAATTTATATTCTTATTGTTACGTACTGCCAAGCATGGGATATCTAGAGTGGCTCAGTAAATAAATCAATTTTTTTTTCTTGAGATCAATATTTCCAATTAGGAGCTAAAAGTAAGGAAGGAGAGACAAACCTGTTCATGGCCATATTTTTCAAAGTACTGGTTTTGGATAGTAGAGCTAAAGTAAAGAGAAGCATTATATATCAAGTATGAGGAGTGCTTCGTCAAATTCAACACCACAAAATCGAAGCTTAATCCCACCACCCTATATATTAAAAAAAAAAAAAAAGATTAAAGAAAATATAAGAAGATAAGAGGAATAATTAACATATCATATCATACCATGTATACGTCACCTTTTGCGTCGGAAATTCAAGATGAGTTGAGGATAAAAACCGATGCCCCATGAAACGAAGGCAATCCATCCTAACGTTTGGTATGTGATTTCCAGCGGAATTGAATTCCATTTCGCCCTATTATTCCCACTACTTAAGAGCAGGCCGGCAAGTGACAAGGCCATCATCTAGTAACTAGGAAGGACTACTCACTACCACTACTTAAACTAAGGTGTTTTTATCACATAAGACCACTTTGCCGCGTTATTTGTTCTAATAATTACAAAACATTATTCTACAAAGATTATTAAAGAAAGAAAAGGACAATATATATATATATATAGCGAGAGAGAGAGACGGAATGGATATTTTATCTCCTCCCTCCCTGCTTCCCACACTCTGGGATTTATGTTACAAGCAAAACTCGTAAAAATTGAAGCCTTTAGTATAATGGCCAGGGGTAGTGCAGGTAAGAAAAAAGTTTATGTAGACATCAATTGATGATAAAAACAAGTGATGAAGATTATAATTTTTTTTGTCATGGAGATCAAATTAAAGAGGAATCATGTTTCTTAGTTGAGAAAGTATATGAGATATTTGGCAATTAGGAGGTTTCCTATTGTTATATCCAAATTTAATTAGGGTCTGCCAACTCAATTAAATTAGCTAGAGCCTAATAATGTTTTAGTTATAAAACCTTGAAAGATATTAGTATGCCCAAAGCCTAATCCAGCAGACAAAATTCTGACAAGCCAACGCAAGAAAAAAGGCCCAAAAGAGTTTTTGCAAATAGAAAGACTTAGTATAACTCTCGACAAAATGGCAATGTGGATAAAACAACTTGGGAAGCAAAATCCTCTATCTGCAATAGTGAGTTAACAAAATTGACTAAGAAATAAGAGGAACATGATATGTTGCAATGAACGAGTTCGGACAAGCTCACACAAGAAAAAAGGCCCAAAAGAGTTTTTGCAAATAGAAAGGCTTAGTATAACTCTTAACAAAATGGAACAAAAAGACTTGAGAAGCAAAATCCTCTATGCGCAATAGTGGGTTAACATAATTAAGTACTTGAAATTAGAAATAAGAAGAACGTGATATGTTACAATGAACAAGTGAAAATGCTAGAAAAAGTGGAATATTGTAAACATGGAGCATTGCGAGTCTAAGGAGAGAAGTTATTGCGGTTCAAGAATGTTTATAGTATAGAAGAATGTAAAAGATTGGAAAGGCTATAAATATCAACTGCATGACCATAACGACCAACACAATTAACTAAAAAATAATACTCTTGCAAATTACCAACTTTATCTTTCAGTTCAAATACTTGAAACATAATAGGCTATAGTTTGTAAACAATACTCACATAGGTCGTAATCAAGTAGGATGGTAGATTGTTCTTGGTTCAATTGTCACTTTCATTGCAACACATGTAAATCATGTCTCTCGATGTTTGGAGTTTGTTTAACAATTCCAGCGTCTATAAGGTTTTATGCTTTTTTCTTCCAGAGTCAACGTTATTTATGCTTCCAAAGTCGGTATTATTTATAAAGACTTTTAATTAAATACTTACAAACTTTTATTTTCGTTCGACTTGGCATTCTATAGTTATAAATTGTTGAAGTTAGTTATTGTGAGTTAATTTATATTTTGAATAGAGATACTCGTTTTTATAGATACTATTTTTATTAATATCTTGACATCTAATTAAAATTATGTACTTAGTTATTTTAGTCGTCTAATTGAGAATCCGAAAGAAAGACTACCATACGTACTATCTTCCAACCATATTATAAAAAACCTTTTTGTTTCAAAATCTTCTTAATTGAGGTCAAAACAAAAGAATCTATAACAGTTTTCTAGTGACCATAGTGAGAGTGTTATTCTAGATGGCACCAAGAAAATCAAACAAAGTTCAATCTACATAGGATGACGGTGAGGAAACTCACCCTCCTAATGCAACAACCATTGCACAAAAAGACAGTTTTGGTTTAATCGTAGCTAATGAGCCACAAGATGAACTTGTCTTAATGTTAATTGAGGAAAGATATGTCATTTTTGAAGAAAGAGTCAAAGAAATCCTAAGAGTTAGACATCAAACATAAACCTACGTTGAATAATTGAAAGAACAAAATAAGGAAAAAAAATGAAAGTCATTCAAAATCATTAGAAAGAATTATTAAATGCCCATGATAAGACCACAAACACTCCCTTAGAGTTTATAGTCCAAGAGAGACACAATACAATCTCTAAAATCGGGCATGAGATAAATGCTTTCTAGGCTATCGAGACACAAGCCCATTTAGGATTTAATAAAACCCTTGTAGATGTCAATAAGCATATTAAATCTAGAATTAAAAAGGAGTCGATGATGTTATTGGTAACTTCAATCATGCTATGTATAAAACGAGTACATAAAATATCTAAACACGTAGCTTTAGAAGTAAGAAATCAACTCGGAAGAAAGACTACCTAAACTATCGACTAGCTTAGGTCTTTTAAAGCAATTTCACTTGAGAAAGCCTATAGTGATTCTTTCAAAGATGTAGGTGGTTAAGGGGTAAGAGATAAATCCCTTTTTTGAAGTCGGCTACCTTCCCAATCAACTTGGCGTAAACCTATCATTATAAGGGAACCTAAGTCTTAAAAGGAACCTAGGAAATCAACTTGGCGTAATTCTAGAAGAGAACTTAGACCATCAACTTAGCATCGGCTTGTCAACCTAGGTAAGGCTTATTATGAGAGAGAGCCCAATGGAGAATCTCATGACTCTCTATAGGGGAGGAATCACCTTTATAGGCCTCTAATAGAAAAAGCTAGAGGGTCATGTAACATAGAAAGGTGGAGAATTCCACTCAATGACCCTAGGCTAGGATATCATCCATCGTAACAGTTCTTATAACCAAATCCGAACACATCTTAGGGGTGGTGGAACGAGCTTTTGGTCGTAGAATCTAACAAATTTATAGGCTACCTATAGCCGATCATATCCTAAGTACATAGACAGGGAATACCTTTACCCACTTAGTTTTAAGTTTTTTTCAAATTTTACTTTATTCATTTGATAAGGAATAGTCACGACCTTAGAACTCATAGCTAGATTCAAATGCCAATGTAGAGAGGCTTTTGATTAGGACTACCTAAATCTTAGATTATTCCAAATTCTTTGACCACGAGTGTTTTTTATGGTATATAAACTTGCCTTTAAATTATATTCATTCATGAGCAGATATGCAAGCCATATTTTAGGCCCATTTCTTAAAAATAGAGCCGAGTCGTGGTTATCGGACTTAGTAAAGTATAAAAAATACCCAAGAGAGTCTATCAAAGAATACTTAGATAGATTCATAGAAGCTAAGGTAAAGTGCTAGGCAAAAATTACTTGAGAAAGAATTTATAAGCATAGTCCAATAAGGTTTGGAATTTGAACTCAAAAAGAAGTTTGAGGAAATGAAATTCAAATATGTATATAAATTAGATATGAGAGCCTCTAAATATGAGACTTTATTAAAGAAAGAGAGAAATAAAAAATATGTTATCCAAGGAACCTATTGTCGGGAGCCCATTCCATGGGAAATTGACATGGAAAAGTTCATCCATAAAACTTCTTTAGTATGCGATGCTCTTGTAAAAAAAATGCTGGGACTATCAAGTCATTTAAATCCATATAAGAAAGGAATTATTCCTTTTACACAAACCAAGCTAACCAAATATTTGATTGGTTAGTAGGAAATAAGAGAATCGGAATCAAATGAAAATATAAAACTTTCATAAAATAGGAAAAAAATTAAAAATCATATTGTAAATGGCATAGAGTTTTAGAACACGTAACTAAGAATTGTATAGTATTCGAAACATCATATAGGACCTTATACAGGCCAAAAACCTTAAATTCCCGGACAATAATGATCAAGTAGGAATAGATAAGGATCCATTGCCAAATATAAATTTAGTTGATGTTCTTTCTATCATCAATATGATTTCTATCACTAATGATTTTATTTATTCTGATAATGTATACACAAAGACATTTGACACTATGATAGCTAATGAGTACTTTCACTACTTGGTGCAAACTAAGTTTCTCAAACTTACACATGTTGATCGATTACAAGACACTAAGCATATATGTCATTGGCATAAGATAGATGGACATATAACTAATGCCCGATCGACATTTAGGAGATTTGTCAAAATAAATATCCTTAAAAGAAAGTTGATTCCAAACAAGGATGAATTGTAAGCCTTTGATCTTATAGACTTGTATGAGCCAATGAGGACTAAAACCTTTGAGAATCCTAGACCCCTATTTCTATCCAATCTGTTTGGAAGAGAGATTATTCAACAAGCTCCAAAGGTAAAGATGTTTTCCCACAACCTCAAAACACTATGGAGAGCCCTATGTAAGGATGGTGAACTATTTTTTTTTCATATAAAAATCTTAGGGAATGAACTTCAAGAGGGAAAGAAAATGCCCAACTAGAAGGACTTATTGGTGCCATACTTGAAAAATCCTTCCAAAGAAAAATTTCATATTCACCAAAATGGAACCACCTACTTAGGAATCACCAGTTGTTCCGGAGGATCGGGGATGAACTATAGTGAGAACTAAGTCATACAAAAAGAAGAGTAAGAAGTGAATTCGAGTAAAAGGTTAAGACAATTACAAAGACTACACAAAGAAGGTCGTTGATTCCCAAAAACAAAAAGGGGGTTCCGAAGAAAAACACTCATTGGAAAGAATGAACTCAATAATTCATCATAGATCGAACTAACAAGCAACTTGGTCATCAAGTTTGGGACTATTTCTAATTATGAAGATAATGACAACCTTAGAACTCAATAAAAGCTAGAGAGCAAGTTTCTAGAGATTTTCCCTAATGAGATAACTTAGACAATGAAATGTTGAAGGCCTTCAAGATGAAAATGGTTCATAAATTGGTGAGTATTCTAGATATACGGAGGTGTAGGATATAACATGATCACTTTATTACCCTAAGAATTCTTCCAGCATTAGAAGAATTAGCACTTTTGGAAGGAGACGTAACGGATGATACTGCGAAGCATCCTACCGGATCATATAGAAAACTAGTGACCTAGAAGATTATAGTGTTGAGTGCCTCCATACTACTAGCTCTAACAATACTCAACCCAATTGAGAGAAAATGCCGGATTGAAGATTAAAAAGCTATAAATGTCCTCCTATAAAAACCTAAAAAGAATGCCCTTGTGCATCTCAAACCCCGAATATGAAAGCAAATACGAACGAGTGTTTTAGTTAATAGAGTCCTGGAAGATAATGGAGCTACATTCAATTATACTTTTATTGTATATGTTAGATCTCATCAATAAAATAGAACAAGATCTTATACCCACCAAAATAGTACTTAGTGGGTTTGTGAGGAATGTATTAAAAGCTAAGGGAATTCTGCAAGTGAGTATAAAAGTGGGTAAAATGACCACTAATATAGCTTTTTTTTTTTTTTTATGATAAACACTACGTCTATTTATAATGCATTGCTAGAAAAAGATTGGTTACATACTAATAATTACATCCTTTCCACCTCACATCAACTTATGTTTTTTAAAATAGAGAGAAATTTAAAACTCGGTATGCAAATGTAAAACTCTTCAAAGCAACACCAATCATTTAGAGGCTAGATTCTATCTAGGAGAATGTACTCCTATCAAAGTATATACATGAGCTATACAACCATAATCTACTTGAAGAATTAAAGAATTAGGAGAATAAGATTTATCCCCGACAAGCCACAAGAGAAACTTGGAAGGGACAATAAATAATTTCTCAATAAATGGCATCTAGAAAAATATTGGTTTTAGAAGGAAGGAAGTCCGACCAACCATACAAAGATTAGTGGTGTACCTATCGAAAGAAATTGATGTTGGAACACCACTCAAATTGGATAACGATAGAGAGCCAACCTATCAATATTAAACCTATAGAGCTTCCCGATAGTATTGCGATTACAAGAGCTTATGGTAAAACTAACCCTCTAAAGAAGGTGAACATAGGTGTAGGAGATAAAGAAAAGTTTCACCTATGTCAATGCTAATATGGAATGACAAGATACGTAATAAATGGTGGAAATTTTGAAATAGTCTAAAGACTATTTTACATGGGATTACAAAGACATGCCGAGTTTGCACGGATAGCTAGTGAAACCGAGGATTCCAATTAAGCCGGATGTTAAACTCGTTAATCGAACGACTAAAAAAATAGCTCTTTTCATTCTACCCAATGTTAAGAAAAAAATATAAAGACTATTCAAAATAGGGTTCATTAAGGCTTTTAGGTATGTGGAATGGATATCTAATATTTGCACTAGAGATAAAAAAGAAATAACAAAACCAAGGTATGTATTAACTTTAAGGATTTAAATAAAGTAACTCTTAAAAATGAATACCTTATACTAGTCACGAATGTTATGATTGATGTTGTGGCTAGAGAAAACAAGTTATTTATGATAGATGATTTTGTAGAATATAATCAAATACCTATTGCGGAATAAGACATGCATCAAACAATAATTAGGTGTCTTGGAACTATAGGTGTATACGAATGGGTGATAATGCCCTTTGTATTGAAGAATGCAAGAGCAACATACCAAAAGGCCATGAACACCATCTTCCCCGACATGATTGAAAAAAATTTGGAAGTATACACAGATGACAATGTGGTCAAATCGACAAACCAATAAAAGCACAAGGATGACTCGACAAAAGCCTTTTTGAGGATGAGGAAATACAAAATAAAACTTAATCCACTAAAATATGCTTTTAAAGTTTCTACAAGAAACTTCCTTGGGTTCCTCATCCATAACAACGGCATAGAGGTGGAGAAGAACAAGGCAAAAGCCGTAATTAAGTCAAAGCCTCTTAGAAATAAAAATGATTTTTTGAAATTTTATGGTTTAATTAGTTACCTATGAAGGTTCATCTCTAATCTTGCAGGGAAAACTAAGATTTTGCACGCTCGTTAAAGCTTAAATCAAAGAAATACTTCGAATGAAAGAAATAGCATTAAAAAGCATTTGATAAAATCATAGAGTATTTAATACAACCATTCTTCATGGTTCCTCCAGAAGCAAGAAAAGCTATTGAAGATGTACATTACAATAGCAAAAAACTCCATTGGAAGCCTTTTAGCTCAAGATAATAAAAAAAGGTTCGGATCAGTTCGTGTTTTGCTTAAATAGAATGTTGAATGATGATAAGCCCATGGACTATTGAGCCAACAAAAAGTGGCAATTTGAGGGTCTATGAAAAGGCCGGCATTGGCACCACCACCATACCCACACACTTTCTTTTTCATCGAGAGAAATATTAATAATTCTAATCTAGACCACGGAGTCATTTTCATCCTTGTGCTCATATTGCCCCAAAAGCAATACCCTCACAAGAGGGTTGTATGGCATACCCCAACCCACCCATGTTACCACTCCCTCTACTTTGTCCCCACTTTCCAGTTTATAAACCCAAACCCTCCTTAATTCCTTCACCTTCTCCATTGCCTTTCTCTTATCTCACTCAATAATTTTTTATACCCAAATCCTTCACTTATCTCTATTTTTTCTTTCCATACAAAGCACATATTCATAACGTGTTCCTCTAAATCTAGGCTACAACAAAGTATTAATAATACTAAGACTACCATTGTTAAAAAAAATTTCTACTCTTTAGCTCGAATAAAAGCTTTAGTATCTTTTAAACAAGTACAAGAAAAACTATTTTTTCCCTTAACACTAATAAATCTTATCTCTTGGTATTTGGAATTTGTTCAATAGTTCCAACGTTTGTAAGTTTTTATGTTTTTGCTTCTAGAGTCGGTGTTATTTATGCTTCCAAGATCGGCATTGTTTGTAAAGATTTTTAATTCGAGTATTTAGATACTCCTATTTTCATTCAACTTGTAATTTTGTAGCTATAATATCTTGAGATATTATAACCGTGAAATGACAAGCCGAACGAAAATAGACATATTATTTTTATTAATATCTTGATATCTAATTAAATTTATTTACTTAGTTATTTTAACTCGTTTAATTGAAAGTCTAGAAGATAGACTATCCTGTAGACTATCTTCCAACCATATTATAATGTTTTTTTTGTTTTTTTTTTTTGTTTCAATGTCCTCTTAATTGAGGTCGATATAAAAGAATCCACAACACTTATAGAACCTAATTTTGGATTAAAGAATTTCATTTTATTTGAATAGCTTGATTCAAAGAGATTTGACAAGATTTAATGCTTCATAATTTCATTTCAATCTAGTTAATTTTATACACATCTAATTGCATAATCGTTATAAACAAAATCATGTTTTGAGTTGCATATATAAAATCAATTAATATACTCCTTAAACTAAGGGAAAAGAAGCAAACAAGTGAGGTAGGAAATTGACCTTGGAGTAAGATGCTCGAGTGAAAAAGAAAGAAAAAAACCCGAGCTTGCTTTGTGCTTTGTGCTGAAAAAACAGGACTAATATATATATATATATATATATATATATATATATATATATATATATATATATATACACGATAATAGTGAGAGTTTTAAAAGGAGGTGAATTTTATAAAGAGATTCTAGAAAGCAATCACAAGTGTGAAAAAAAAACCTATTGAATTAACGAACTTCAAAAATCACTCGATTCACAAGCCATAATTGATTTCAAACACAAAACTTTAGATTTTGTTAAAATCAAAGAATAGTCACTAATATATATGTATGAATTTGATATAGAGTGACTTGAAAATAATCATGTGTTATTTTCGTTGTTCTTTTCAAAGTTATAACTCTTCGTTGTGGTAGCTTAGATTACAATATGCTCGATTGGAGGAGATCTAAGGGTTGAGAAAGAGAGAAATTAGTGACTTCAATTAAAAGAAAAATTCTTCTTATTTATCGATATTATGCTTTGATTACTTTAATCTTCCGGAGTTTTTTTTTTAAAAAAATAGTGTACTTCTAAATCTTATTTACAAAAATAAGGTTATTTAAATCTTATTTATCAAAACAAGGTAGTTTTTGCCATGTGGATTAAATCATTTACATGTGTCATTTTTTTAATGCTAAATTCACTAATAATTTTATAAAATTTTAAAACTAAATATCATTTGTAATACATCCGTTTCGTTAGTTATGATCACCGAGATAAAATCAAATACTAGTAGACTCAATCCTACAAGCTCATTAACAAGATCTAGAAATAATTGCTCTAGTAAAGCCAAAATAAATAAACCTTCAAAAACCAATAACTTCATTAGCAATCTCTCTCTAGTTCTTGAACTAATAAATTTTACAAAATTTGAGAAACAAATATTGTTGCTTATTCACGCTATTTCAAAGAAAACATTGGCCTAAATCTCTTGGTAGTAACTTTGCCCTCTTAACTTGTTTAGCACCGTAGATTTCAATCGGACCGAATAGTAAAGCTTAGATTCCAAACTCGTTTTCCTATGCCCCGTTGGAGGCTTTACCCGAAAAGAGAGAATAAAAGACTAAGATCAAGTTTCTAATAGATGGATTTGGGAATTGTTGCAAACCTAATTAAAAAGCACTACAAAAAACACAAGGGAAACCAATCTCCAAGTATACTCTCCCGGACGAGTAAATTAAAAATTAATACAATATCATCATTGTCCATAAAAGGTAACAAGGAAAGAAAAGAAAAGGTAAATCTAGCACGAGCATGAAACCCCGCTTTCCATAAATCAAGCAAAGTGGCAACAACTGCCATGCATTTGGGTCTCCCTCTTTTCATAGAATTCGAAGTGTGCATTTGTTTTCCGCTAATCTACCGGAGAGATGGAGAGGAGTTGACATGCAATGTGCATAAAGTTTAAACCTTGTCGAAAATCCGAAGCTTAAAGTAATCGAGCAAGGTCCGCGATTTTAATCGAATAAGCTCTATAGAAGTCCTAATGAGCAACTACCGATCTTCTCTATATTCTAGGTTCTCCTTCAATATGACAAAACCTTCAAGAATGGACGAAAGAGGAATATACTTGCGAAGTGGTAATTGTTTGAGTTACCGGTTTTTGAAGCTTTATTTATTTTGGCTTTATTAGAGCAATTGTTTCTAGATCTCGGAGATGAGTTGGTGGGGTTAGTTTTATTAGTATTTGATTTTATTTGGTAATCATAACTAAAAAATCGGATGTATTACAAATGATATTTTAAAAAAAAAATTAGTAAAATTACGAATAAATTTAGCATTAAAAAAACCAACACGTGTAAGTGATTTAATCCACATGACAAAAACTACCTTGTTTTGATAAATAAGATTTTAAAATACCCTCTTTAAAAAAAAAAAAAAAAACCCTCTAATTTTCCATGTCTTAATATTTAGTGTCGATGTGAAGCAAAATGCCTTAGTTTAGTAAATAAGTTTTAAAATACTATCATTTTGAAGAAAAAGTTTTTATAATATCTTTAAAAAAAAAAAAAAAAACTCTTGAAACCAAAGTAATGCATTTATTAAAATTATGGGTTTAAAGGAGTGTTTAGAGATGACAATAGACCGGTATAAAAATATTAATGAGAATTAAAATAGGTAAAAATAAAAAAATATATATACATGTTAATATAGTTTCACCATATAGATACACACTCCTTACTCTATTAATATTTACTAATTTATTTTGATTTATTTCAAACATGTAGAGATTTAATTGTGTAAGCTTTAAAAATTAAGGACCAAAAAACTTTTTTAAAAATAATAGGGATTGAAATAAATTATTTTTGATAAATTATTTTTAGCTCATATTAAATAGGTACTAAGTAATGGATATTAAATAGATAGATAAACTACTATGGAATACGTATAAACTATTATATGATAATTTTTTAATAGATAAAATATTTTTTTATAGATAAAATAAAAAAATTAAATTAATGAACCAAGCACTCGATATTGTCATCCCTTCCATAGAAGTGTCACATGCCAATCATTGTCACTCCACTAGTATTCATTTTTTTTTTTTTTAAGACGAAAAAGACACATAATCTTAACCTTCATGCATGACCACATATGGCAGTTAATGTCGACTGCTAATTTCTTCTATCCATTTTAGTTGCAACTGTAGAAGGCCATTATTTCATACGCTCTTATTAATAAACAAAGTCAAAAAGGGTTTTCTGGAATTTTAAACTTGCAAAAGTCAGAAACGAAGCACAAAACAAATGGTGACAAGAAATCCATTTTCTATGTTTCAGACATGCGACAGATAACTATGCTAGTTGCAGAACTTCATTCTAGAGTGCTCATGATACAGTACACACTGGTTGCAAGATACTAAGTCCCACTACCCAAAAAGAAAAGAAACTCGCTGTGTGGAGGACTGATATTGAAAATCAACCAAGTTTTTTCAACCCTTCCTCCGTTTTCTTTTCAGGAATGGCATTGCACTTAGACTGCCTACACCACCAGATGTCAGATTATCATTCTTTATTATTTCTGGCAGAGACTCACTGCTGACTGAATGACCACCAGCAGGTGTTGCAACCTCACTGTCCGCCTTCAAGTCGGTATCATTAACATTCTTCCCTCCATTTCTGAGTTCATTCAAAAGCTCAGTGCCATGGTCAACATCTTCCAAGATATCTGAGAAATAGGAAGAGTCACCAGTTTCCCTGTCAGCAGTTGTAGGTGGGCTATGGGTACTCCCTTGGTCCTTGCCTGCCTCACTGTCATCCAGACAAAAGCCACCTCCCCTTTCAAGATAATCCTTAGAAACTTCAACCTTCGGAGAATAGTTATTTTGGTCCATAACAGGGAGACCAACTTCTTCTCCAATGCAAAACCCATCTCTCCTTTCCAAGTAATCCTTGGAGAAGCTCTGAAGTGAAGAATCTCCCACTTTAAGTTGTCCATTATCATTGACGTCGGTAGCACCATCTCCATGTGATTCTTGAGCACAGGGGAAACCCTGGTCCAATGACTTCTCCACATCATCAATTTCCAAGTCATCAACTCTGTAATTTACAGGTTTCCGTGACCGTGTTGACTAAAAAGAGGGGGAAAGAAAAAGGTGAAAAAAACCTTCGTTAAATTCAGCTTAAAAAAGTATGAACAAGCTCTCTTGAAATGACATTACTGTAGGTGTAAGTCTGCTTTCCGGAATTCTACAAAGTTGAATTTACAGAAGGCTCATTTTACAACTTGCATAACGGTCAGAATGATGAAGTCATGTAAAGAAAAGTTAACTATATAAACCTTTTATACTAGTTTTGCATCAAATTAACCAAAACCAAGACACAGCTGTAATGCATTTATTGCATGATTCCAGTGCATAGTAATCAGGCTGAGGCTTTCTACATATATGAGATAACGTGGGAGGGCTCCTCAAACTGTCAAAAGGACTTAAAACTGGAACAACCATTGACAACCCAAATTGCTTAATACCTGACCTAAAAAAAATAAAAAATAAAAAAGGAATAAACCATAGTAAATCAACAAGCAGGCCAGTTTTGAAATTGAACCAGTCTGTTGCACCTTAATAAGAACAAACCACGAGTTTCTCCACTTGCACGCTTTCCATGATTTTTTCAACATGATAGTAGACTCCTTATGCTATGAAAAAAATGAGCGAAGAAAAAGTAAATCTTACCTTCCGCAATTCACATGGGCTATTTGACACATCAACATGAACTTCATGCTCATCGTGACCACTATCAGCATCACAAGAGCTTGAATCCAATTGTTCAAAACCAAGATTTGCCTTTCCCCTTCCCCTTCCCCTGCCTCTCCCTCTACCTTTTCCATTTCTTAGCAATCCTCTCTTGCTACATTGCCTGAGAGTTGCCTCTGTATTCTCAGCTTCAGAAAACACAGGCTCTTCAGCAGTCCTTTTCCTAGACCGCTTTGGATTTGATTTTACTTCAATGCTGCTCTTATTGCCAGGAGCACTTCTTGAAGTTCTCTTTGAAGGTTTCCGAGGTTTGTTGTCGCCAGATTTCCCAGATATATTTCTACTTGTTCCTCTACTTATAGAAACTTCTTCCACAGGATCATCCATCATGTCAGAGTATTGGTTTCCAGTGATCCCTTTAACAGCTTTCTTGATTCTCTTGCTACGAATTTTTGCAAATCTTTCATTGAAACTGTAAAATGCTTCCAGTCGTAGTTGAGTCTTCATCAAACAAGCCATAGTAGAAATTTATCAGCAACTTATCACTTTACGTATTATATCTTCGCTATATATAAGATTATGAATTGTCTAGCTATCAGATTCAACTAAAATACCCAGATCATTTTATTGTAAAATCTAGTCTAGTCTTCCATATTAGGAGGAAAAAAATAAAAGAAAAGCAAATTAAGGCATTTTCACAATTCCTCCAACTTACAGTTTCCTAATTTCAAATAAAAAATCATAATAGATATGCAAATCATATTCACTTAATGTCCTAAAATGGTATAAACTCTGTATTAACTAACATAAAATGTTATTTTATTGTAATGTCTACTTTACTAATTAAAAGCAAAATAAAACCTCCAAAAAAATTATGGCATTTTACTATTACTCCAATTTGGGTTTCCCAATTCAAAAAATATATATAACATATATGTAATCATTTATGTAGATCAGAAAAATGAGAAATTTTATGTTCTTTGAGCAGGAATGTATATTCAATTAATGCCCTAAAATTGTATAAACACTACCTATACTAGGATGCAGATTATATTTAACTTCAAGTAACAACCAAAAAATAAATAAATAAATAAATGGCAACTTCTGTTGCAATTTATTTACTTTACATATCTGAGTAAAACGAAGGAAAACAATTACTTTTAACAGAAAAAATTGCTTTTCATATGAAACTTTGATTGGTTCAAAATGATATCACCAAATCATAACAAAGGTAGACGTTTGATGCAAACAACAAAAGAAGCAAAATTAAAGTCTTTTTTGTGGACAAGGGTATTTCTATTTATTATTCTATTAGTCCTAAAGAGTAATCAGCTTTATTTGGTCTTTCTATTTTAAATTAGACAGTATTTTCTTATAAAGGAGGATAAACCCTACAAACTCTTATGCAAAGGTTATGTAGTCATTCAGTTTTTTAATAAAATTCCAGCAACTTTGCTTTTGATTGTGATTATGTAGTCGTTCAATTTTTTAATAAAATTCCAGCAACTTTGCTTTTGACTGTGTGACTTCCAAGGATCCTAGGTTTGAAGCTTAGGTTTTTCTATCCTCTAGATGTGGCATCAAGAAACCCTGAGTAGGCTAACGTGTTCATGTGTCTGTGCATGCACATGAGAGAGGAGCACAACCTCATGTTTATCATACTCCTTCAGAACAGGCAATAGCAACTCATCTGACTTCTGAATGGCCCACCCAAACTTTTCCCAGCATAATCTGCATGAACCACAGCTGGTCAAGGAAACGAACAATCTGATTTTATTTGTGAAAATATGCAGCCAATTATTTTGAGAAATATAAAGAATCAATTTAGTGTATAAATAATGCATGATTTGGATGCATTTTAGCATTCAGTATGTGCTTTCTAATGTAAGATGTTGGAGCAAAGGATTAGAGGTATGGTGACCAAGATGATACAGACTTCTCTTGAAAACAGCTCCAAACTTTAACAAGGATCACATTAAAACTTGGGGAAAAAAAAAGTATTGCAAGTATCATTAGGGTGTAGTCCTATAGCAAGTGTAATAACAAATTCAGCATGAGAAGAAAAGTTCAACACAGCAATTGCCTAGATGCAAAGACAAGCTATACATGCCAAACTTTATGAAACCAAAGGTGAGATAACTTACCTGTGAAGAGCATGAAGATCTGGCTTTCCCCATGTGAAAGGCTCAGTTGACTTGTCCACTTGTGGACAAGAATATGCAGAAATGACTGCTTCGCTCGGAAAAGAAGGAGGAATGTGCCAGTTCTTGCTCACATTTCTCTGTACATGTTTAAATTTGATTTCTCTTCAGAATATGGGGGCATGCAGCCACATGATATCATGCTGATTGCTGAAGTAAGTGTCACCAAAGAAATGCCTAATTCTATAAAGAGAGTACTTACATGCTTATCCATGAAAACCCGCTTTATTACTTGAGCATTATCTGCAGATTGCTTTTCTTCATGACCTTGAGGAACGTTTAGGCCAGATGGCGTCATTCCTTCCATGTCATTACCTGTGCCATCCACTTCACTATCACCAACCTTTGAATCTCTTTTCCTCGCACCCAAACCAGTTTGTACATCAAAGTTTCCTAGGATGGCTGGATCTGGTGATTCAATCCACTCCCTGAATTTTTTAAGCCCATCCTCCTCAGGGAACGCAGTCACAACCTCAATGGCATTGACAATGCCAATGCCACTACAACAAGCACGAATCCCATTAAAGTTCATAAACTTAACAAAATAAATAAATAAATAAATAGAATGTCTAATAAGTACAAATTGTTCTTAATACTCCAACCAAACAACTCAAAACTACATGCTTGTAAACAAGGACATAAGAAAAACCTACATGCATAAGAAGAAAGCATGACTATTGAAACTTAGAAGCCAAAGCAGTTGCTGTTAATTACCTAACACCCTCGGTATAGTCACTTCCAAGAAGCAGAGCCATGCGAATCAATTTCTCTCTTGTTAGACCAAGCTCTTTCTCGATATCCTGCAAACAAAATGCACAAGTATGAATGGCAGGATGTTAATAAACTTAAGGAGTAGACATTAAAGGCTTGTCAAATGCAGTCAAAAGAAAATATATAATTTGCACACGCACAACACAGAACTGTAAGAAACAACATGAATCAACAAATTAGAAGCCAAAAATAATTTTAGATGCATTCTAGCAAAAAAAAGTACATGCAAAAAAAGAAGGGAGCTTTCTGAAGAAAACAATTGGAAAGATGCTAAAAGACAAGTTTTCTAGATTATCCAGTAACAAGCATCAAGAACTTGATCTGAATATCATAGCAGTTATTACAGAACAATAGAAGACAAAAATCTTCAAGGGTTCTACCGGACCTTCGTGAAGTATGTCTCCACATATTTACGATCATCAAATATATTCTTGTACACACTTCGAGCTCCAAACAAGAAGACATCAGAATCATCAGTCACGACCCCGTCAACATAATTTGCAAGTTCCATATATGCACATTGAGCTTCTGCTTCCATTGGTGCTATAATATATGGTAAGCCAAACATCTGAAGCAGCTCCTACAGATGATAAAATGACTGAAACAACATAAGATTGGTGCCACATTCTATATGATAAGTAAGAGATCAGTATCAGTTCCTACAGGGTAAAATTCACTGAAACAACATAGGTTTCTCATTTCCCAATATAAAACCCAAAATTATGGTATCACTCAGAGAAATATATTGTTGATGCGAGCAGCAGAAGACAGTTATCCTTAGTACTCAATTTATTTAAAGTTCCATGGTTGATATCCAAACAGCAAACAGGAACCTTGTACTATGACAATAGAAAAACAAGGTTTTCTGACGAAAAGAAAAATAAAGTGTTTGATCAATTAAGGATAAAGCATTGTGTGCTGGAATCTATGAAAGACATAAAGCAAGTTGATCCTAACAATTTGTTAATTCTCACCATGTGATTTAGTTGATAAGTCATATAGAAGTCTAAGTGCATACCTGACATTCTGCAAACATCTCACTGCTGACTGATTCCGCATTACGCTCAAGCTTTCTCTGTTCATCTCCTAGATTCTTATATTCTTGACCTAGAATTAGCCTTTCCTTCTCCAAACTAGCCTCTGTAAAATCCACCTGTTCATTCTCATTATCCATAGGTGCAGATTTGCCAACATAGCACCCCCTTTCACTAAGATGGTCCTCTGAATTTTTCCCTCCATCAAGTTTCTGTGCAAAATCACCGCCTTTTGCTGAATCTTCTTGGAAAGATTGGGTACTCTCAACTGGTTCAACCTCAGAACTAATTTTCTCCCCACCAATGAATGTGGATGGCTCTGCTTTCTTATCATTTCTATCATCAATTAGCTCAACATGTGGCAAACTCGATGCTGCTACAGAGATATGAGAACCATCTCTTGGATACCTCTTATTGGAGGCAGATAGCCCACCATTCACAATATCAGAAGCAGGCTCCAAATTCAAGTGGTTCTCCTCTGCTTCCAAAGGGCCAACTGATTCAATAGATGGCATGTCTCTGCACCCATTCTTCCCTTTATTCACATCTTGGCTTATTTGGCCAGGTTTAGAACACACATACTTTTCACATGATTCATTTATTAGCATCACCACATTATCAGGATTATGTGCTTCAGATGACTTTAAATGGCTACCTACAGAAGGAAAGGCTTGGGAGATATTAACTTCGCCTGAATCACCTAGCTTTTCAAATTGCGAGATTTCAGAGATTGATTTGTTTTGTTGGCAAGCGTCCTTCCTGAGCATATTTGGACAATTATCTTCTTGATTGGGAAAGCTAACACCCTCACAACCATCTTTTCCAGAACTTTTAACCTTTTTAGGGTCAGATTGTGAGTGGACGGATTTATCACCCCCAAGATAGTTAAGACTTCTCCTTATCGAATCCTGCAAACCAGCCTCTTCTTCCAAAGAAGCTCCAGAAACTGGATTTATTGATTCAGCTGGATTATCATGAGCATCAGAATCTTCTTCCACCCATTCCACTTCACTATCATCGCTAACATTTCCTCCAGAATTTTTAATTTTTTCAGGGTTAGGTTCTGAGTGGATGAATTTGTCCACCCCTAGATCATTAAGACTTCTCATTATGGCATCCTGCAAAGCAGCCTCTTCTTCCAAAGACCCTTTCGAAACTAGCTTTCTTGATTCAGCTGGATATGAGGAGTTATCATGAATATCAGAATCTCCTTCCATCCATTCCACTTCACTATCATCACTAACATTGCCACCATTAAAAGACGGCTTAGTTCTTAATTCGATGTCATTAGAAAAACTATTACCTTTTCCTTCAACAATTCCTTCCTCCCAGTCACTATCAGAAGCAGAATCAGAAGATCTTCTTGATGTACTATTGCTGGCAGAAGACATTTTTACAGGCTTTCCAGCTACTAAAGAAGCAAAAACTTCCTCATCACTGCTGAAACACTTGCTCTCGTCCCCGACTTCAAAAGATATCTGCACAGAAGTCTCATTATTCAACAAGGACTGCTCGTTCATTTCATTCAAATTAGCAGATTCACCATTGACACCGCTTGAACTTTCTCCATTGTGATTTTCATTGGGAAATCCTCTAGGGGTACCAATCTTATTTCTGTTGTGCACAGACTGATTAGTTGGAGTCTTGATAGAAAGTCTCTTCTCCTTTTCAATTTCTTTCATTAAATCCAAGTTCCTTTGCAAATCACGGGTCATGTGCATCCCCATGGCTCTGACTCTACTGACTCGGATATGACCTCTTTCATCGAGATATGTCTCGACATCATCATCAGAAGACCTGCTAGATTCATCCTGTGCAAATCCTGTCACAGTATTGGACTTACAGATAGATGCAATACCATCTACAAAATCTGAAGATGGTCTCTGTACTGGTTCCTTTTGTTGCTCGTGTCCTTTTTTTCTCCTCACTCCAGCAGTTGTAAGCAACCTAAACATCTTTGAATAAGTAAGTCAATGACAGGCAATGCTCCATGAAATTGGAAGTGCATTAGAACAAGAATTGGGATGTATGCATGAAAGTGAATCAGATTAATAGACATGTGTAAGAATGTGATATTTGATAGTTAATGGAATGCTTTTCAGAAGGAGGAGCATTTCCATGCATATTTAATTGGTAGAAAGAAAATAAGGTACTCACTCTTTATCCCCAGAAAAGGATGATGAGAAAATAAATTCTCTGTTTGCTTCAGAAGCTATCCTTGAAGCCTGAACACCACCAACATCATTTCTACCAGCAGCTTTCTGCACTTGATCTATCTCACGACGGAAAGCAACAGTTTTAAGATATGCCTGTATTTGAAGCTCAGAGAATTTTTCGGGCACCTAGATGAACATGAAATGAGTAAATAAGAAATATGCACAAAATTTAAAGGGACACATTCATTAACATGATATAATGAATGCAAATTCAAATAATAAATAGTTTATGTAGAGCAACGCAGATATCTCCTAGTGAAGTAACCAAGCACACAGAAAATATAAAACCAATCAACATTAGAAATAGCAAAGTTAAATAAAATCTAGAAAAAAAAAATCACATGAAAACACTCAATAAAAAGAAACACATTCAAGAACTGACCTTCTTAACTTTTTGATACCTTTGTCTGTTTTCAGCAATCAAATTCTCTCTCATCTACAAAACAGAAGATGGACAACTAACATCACAACAAAAACAACAAGGAGGAGAAAGCTGACCTCTTATCCAGTAGGAAATCATAACTAGCTGAATACCGACATTTACCTGGACCAGAAGATCAAGTTGCATTGATGGTGGCAGAGCTGCTAAGACAGCTGGATCAACCTTCCCATGTGGCTGCAAAATGGATCACGTTCAGCCACATGGACAAGAAATTTCATACAGATACTTTGTAGCTAAAGCAAAAAAAAATCTGAAATATACAGTGTACTTCTCAAACAAGAGTTCTGAGATAGCAACCATGCATAGCATATATGAATAAATTTACTATTTCAAACACGAACTAGAGAAAGACAAACCAATAAGGAAAGCATCCATTACATCCCTCGTTCATAAGGCACTTGAACTTCATTCTGATATGAACTAGCTCTGAAAGTTCACTAATCCCATAATACAAACTAGTACAATCTAAAAACAATGAAAAGCATAAAGCTACAATCTGCATCAACTCACATTTCAATGATAATTCTGTATATCAAAGGGGTACAGACTTACCAGTATCATCTCTTCATCTTCATCTTCATCTCCACCTTCCTCCTCAGCCAGCATAGATGCTGCCAACCTAAACTAACTTGTCAATGCAATCAACAGACTATTAAACCAGAATTGGAAAGATCATAGCATGACAACTGGACAGACAGCTTACATTTCGTCTGACTTCTCCTGATTGTAACTCTCTGTCGCCACATGATCTCTTCCTAAATTGCTCCCTTCAATGTCAGTTTCATCTGACAAAATCTCCTTTCCCTTCACATTATTCTGGCGCTTCTCATTCTGGTTCTCAACCTTGAATGGTTAAAAAAAAAAAAAAAAACAAACATCTAGCATCATTTCAAAGTATAGAACCAGATAACAACAAATGCAACACAGCCAAGACAGGCTCTTAGTTAGCACAGCATGCATGCATTTGAAGCAATCTGGTATTAAATTTCATATGAAGATTAATGTCAATGTACAACCAGGCATTCGAGAACCAACCTGCTTGTCTTGATTAATAATTCCCTTTTCTGCCAATGACCTCTCTCGCATCTACATAAGAGACCTTATTAAGGGGCAGAGGAACCAAAATAATGTGGCAAACAAAGATGGAATGAACAGCAGATCTGATCAAGAAACCATACCAGTATATCAAGTTGCATTGATGGGGGCAGAGCAGCTAAGACAGCTGGGTCAACAACCTCATCTATTGTTGGCTGCAAAATAAATTAAATGCAGCAAATATGACATATTGTTCATTTTCCTGTAAGTCCTAAAATAAAATTAAGAGAAGAATGGCAGCCCTAATAACAGAGTCTTCACTTCTCAGAGAAGAATGTTCCATGGTGATAATCAAAACAAATTTCATGGTTTGAACTCCCAAAACAAAATAAATGAAGATATGGGCCAATCCAATACAAAATCAAGAGAGAACTTTTATTTTTATACAATACAAAATCAAGAGAGAACTTTTTGTTTCTTCTATTCTTTCAGTTTCTTTACCAATATCATCTCTTCATCTCCATCGCTATCCATGTCCTCCACAGCAGCAGCAGCAGATGTGGATGCATTGTTATTTAAACTCCCTCCTTCCTCAGCAGCAATGGAGGCTGCCAGCCTATATCAACTCATCATTGAAAATAGAAACAAAAGATGTTCGCCAAGCACGAAAACAAAAATACATAAAATGGAATACATACATTTCATCGAGCTTTTCGGACTCTGACAGCACGTGTGTGTTCTCTTCCAAAATCTTCTTCTGCTTACCCTTCTTATTAGCAGCATTCTGCTTCTCTAGATCCTTTGCCAGTTCTTTCAGCCTCATTGACTTCAGCTATATTATAAAAATCAAATTTCAAAAAATTGGCACTAATTAGGTTATATATATAAGAAAAAGGAGCGTTTCTTTTAGTTTAGACAGACTTGATTAAGAAGCAATTTCTCAGCGGTTTTGCGAATCTTAGCCTGGGCGTTCTCGCGCAGCCTCCGACGAGCAATGACGGTGCGGCGCTTGAGAGCAGGGGTGGCACCATCGAAGACAAAGACAGGCTTAGTGCGAAGATACAAAAGCTTACAAATTCGACGAAAGAAGCCAAGCAAATGAGCGTTCCGCACCATCTCTCCCTTGTCATCTCTCATCGCCTTCATAAACTGGACCAGCCATATACTAGCATCTAAAATCAAAATCAAAATCAAAATCAAATCAATAGAAATTGATAGGTTAGCTAGGGTTTTTGAAGAAAATAGAAGAGAAAAGTGATGTACCGATGGCTAATTTTTTGCCGGCTAGGGTTTCTACAGATACTCGACGGCCGACGGGAGCGATTAGATCCCACAGACCTTGGACTCCCATTTTGTTTCTCTTCTACAAAGAGTTTCTTCAGTTTTCCGTTTCAGTTACAAGTTAAGATGATCATCATCATTGCCGCCAACACCAAAGAATCGGTCGAATTTTAAGTGGCACGAAGTAATTTATATACCAACCGCAACGACGTCGCTGCTTCGCTTTCTTTCTGAATAAAATAAGAATGCTGACCAAAATGTTATTGCCACCACTTTTTTTTAGATATATAATTACCAATACATCCTTCTCTACTCTATAGTTTTTATCCATTAATAATTATTATTATATAATAAATATTGATGGAAAATGTATTGTGTAATTTTCTAAAAAAATTATAAAATAATAATTTAATTAATAAATTTAACAATATCTATAAAATAAACATCATTTTAGACAAGTTTGGATGATTTTTTTGCTTATTGCTCACCAGCTTAATATTAAAAAAAAAACAATATTACTTAATTATTATAACTAAAATACATTGTAATTTTTATACTAAATATGAACTAAAAATAATTTAGAGTAAAAAACATTTTAAATATAAGCTTTCAAAAAAGCATTGGAGGGTTCAAAAGCTAAATAGTTTAGATTTTAAAAGTACTTACCGAATTAAAAATAATTTATTTTATTTGATACCAATATTCTGCCCATGCATTGCATTGCACGTGTATCAATAAAAGTTTTATAAAAATGTTTAAATTAGTTTTAAGAAAATGAAAAATATCAATAAAATTTACATATATATATATGACACAAATACTTAAATTACAAATGTAAACAAATATTTTATTCAAGAATTCACTAAATTTTAACATGATTTTACCAGCATTACAGTTTCCAAACACTTTTATTCTAAAGTTTTTTTTCAATATTTTTTAGACAAATATTAAAGATATAAACATAAATAAAACTTTTATTCTATCTTTTTAATAAACAGTTTTTTTTAATATAGGAGAGCTAGTCAGAAGGTATAAATTATTTCTTGTAAGAGTAAAAGATAGCGTAACTAGTTAATCCCTTCTACTGTTATTTATCATAATATCTCCTCTTACTTTCTAGACTTTTTGGTTGGGTCATTATTTGACAAAAACTTAAGATTGTCAGTCAATCATCCAGGAACCTTTCACCATATCATGACATATATCCAAATTTATTTTTATTCGATTTTTTTTTTTAATCTCCTTCCTCAACCAACCACCAAAACCCTTACTATTCGTCATCTCTTACCTTTCTATACCAAGCCTACTCCAACCATCCTACCACATATCAACAACGAAAACAAGCTTTCAATGTTTTATTTGATATCATGGGTTTTCAATTTGTTACAATTAATTACTTATAGGGTTTATAACCATTACACCTGGATACCATAAGAAGCGACTACTAAAAAAAATAGCAAAATAGCGACGAAAATCTCCCTCGCTAAACCAATAATTTTCGTCGCTATATTAATTTAACTACAAAATAATACGAAAACAAATCATAGCTAAAATACTTGTCGTTAATTTTTTAGCGACAAATTAGAAATTTTATTATTAATTAGCGATGAAAACATTGTCACTATTTCGAAGTATTTTCATCATTGTTTAGTTTTAAACATTCGTATATTTGGTGTAAAATATGTTACCATGTCGATAACTAGTTTTATTTCCATCGCTAATTTCATTCGTCAATTTGTCATTGGTATCCATCACCATTTTTAGTGATTTTTTTCCATCGTTGAGTGTTTAATTATATTTTTTGTCATTAGGCACTGATTTGTTGCTAAATTGAGGAATTTTTTTTTCTAATTTTGTTAAAATGTGTTTAAATGTTTCGTCATAGTAGCTAATAACTAAAATTAAAAATATAATACAAAATATTATTAAACAAAATTAAATAAATGTAAATCACTCACACCATCCGGTATATGAATAAATTAAAAAGAATAATTTAAAAGAAAACTAATGGTAATCAAGATCATTTATTACTTCATCTTTCGGATGCTCGGGTATTGGGAAGAAAAACGGACTCTTGAATAGGGGGATAGAGAGGTTTAGAACGAGGGACCCGACACTTGAGTGATTCCTCTAACAACTCGCTTCATACCTCTACATACTCTACTAGATAAGTCGGTGTTGTGTCTTGTATTTGTTCTCCACCTACTTGGATATATCAAGTATAGTAATGTTGTACATCCATCGGCTTTTGTTGGCATTGCTCATAAGCTTACAACATACGACTAGGAACATGAGATGTGGTAAACGATGAGTTGACATTAGAATGTAAGTAATATTAGGATGCATATAATTTGAAGTCATACACTTTATGCTTCTTCTTCCCTCCAACAACCTCGGATATATCATTGACATGTCGACATCTAGAGATGATGAATCACTCTCCGATCGTTAACTAGAAGTCGATGCATACAATTGATCCACACGCTTCTACGTAATCGAAAAAATTATAATATTAACTCATAAATATAATTTTTTGATTAAATTTACATATGTATAATTAAAAAAAAAAATTACCCTTACTTCTTTGGATCACATGTCCATAAATGACCCATCCCGGTGCCTCGTGAGTCCTCATGAATAACTAATAAGGATCTCGGTTATGATCCAACTCTTAAGCTTGTAAAAAGTAGAAATAAACTGTGTAAGATTCAATAAATTCAAATATTAGTTTATAATGCAATTAATAAATAGGATTTTCCATCTATTTAGCATGCTTAATCCGTGAGATGATGCCCTCGTATATCTAGATGGCCTAGTACCACCCATCTCACTCATGCAATTCCGCACCATCTACTCAAAATGAGCTTGAAATTCGGGTATGTTCCAATCCCGTCGCCATTCATCCCACACTAGCTTTGGGACAAACGAGGGTTTGTTGGTCTTTTTCTTGTAATTGATCGGTATGTCGGCATACCACTTGCGTGCCAAATGCTTCCATATCATCTTAACTATTGAGTTGATGACTTCTTCCCATAAAAAATACTTCTACAAGAAAGAAAAAATTAATATTCGTATGTTTCATGTAACTAATTTAAATGTAATATAAAAAAATAATTAAAATATTATTTTAAACAATCTTTTGTCTCTAGGAAGACCGACTTCTACGTGGAGTTGACAAAGTATAATCACTCCTTGAAAATTACGACGATCCGGTGAGCGCACTTACTAGATAGATACAAATTATCAAACACAACAAATAAAAAATTAATAAGTGACTAAATATGTAATATCTTGAACTCGTTATTAAAGGAATTAAAAACATATTAAGGATATATGAAAACCATTATGTGGGTGTAGGATAGTCCCCATAAGGATGTTAGAATATTTGATGCACTTAGGATAATTTTTCTATGCCAAGTGAATATATTATCTGTTTTCCGAAGCATGAGTAGTAACTTTTTATGCAAGATACTTGTTTTGAGCATTTTAAATGTGTATGAAAAATACTATGTTTGTATAAAATATTTGCTAGAAGGGTGCTAGACTATTTACGTGCCATTGGATGAATTTTTTTATATTTAGTGAATATTTTATTTAAACCTTTCGATGCGTGAATAATGAATAAATATGTAATATCTTGAACCCGTTATTAAAGGAATTAAAAAAAATATTAAGGATGTATGAAAACTATTATGTGAGTGTAGGATAGTCACCATGAGGATGTTAAAATATTCGATACACTTAGGACAATTTTTCACGTGCCAAGGGAATATATTATCCGTTTTTCGAAGCATGAGTAGTAATTGTTTTGAGCATTTTAAATGTGTATGAAAAATATTCTATTTGCATAAAATATTTGCTAGAGGGTTGCTAGATTATTATCTATCATTGGATGAATTTTTTGATGTTTAGTGAATATTTTATTTAAACCTTTCGATGCATGATAGTGCTTTTTAGGCAAATTAATTATTTTGAGTAATTTAAATGTACTTGAAAATTATCCAATTGGCATAGAAAAATCATTAAGGAGGTGTAGGAATATTCCATGTATTGAGGTGAATTTTTCTATGCATAGGGAATATTTTTTACGAAATAAGTGCATTTTTACACAAAGTGATTAATTTGAAGGCTTAGATATCCATATAAAAAATATTTGAATGATGAATAAATTCTTATAGGATGTGTTTGAGTTTATTATGGAAAGAAATTAATTTTTAAAAAGGTGTGGAATAAATTATGCAAACGTAGGGACCTAATTGCATAAAATTAAAAGTTTAAACTTTTAAATTAAATTAGGAATGAATTAAGGAAGTAAAAGGTTGTTAGGAAAACTTTAAAGGAAGGGCCTAAAGGAATCGATTGAATAATTATAGGACTTATGAAAGTGTAAAAGTGGGAAAATCCTAAAAATTAGAGGATCAAAATTAAGCAATTTTGGGAGAGATTTTTCTCCCCTTTTGCCACCATTCTCCTTCAATTATTGGGTGTATTAAATGCCTTGGTAGATAAACAAATAATAAATCATCTACTAAAAAAGGCTTGAATTAGAGACGATAGAAAATCTACCAACGTTTTTGCTATTTTATGCATATCCAAACTTGTAGCAAAGATAAAAAAAGAGCATGCACGAAGCTATGAGAGGAAGTGCATTTAGAGGAGAAGGGTTTTTCAATTTAGGGGTGCAGTGATGAGTGATCCGACTTAATATATATATATATATATTAAAGATTTCAATTTTTCGGTTAACCAAATTTTTTTTAAACAAAAAACGAACTCGAACCCAAATATCAAAATTGATATTTCGATGCGGTTTAGTTCGGTTCGGTTTTCACCAAATAGTGAGCATTCTTAATAGAAAAGCCGTATAGAACTTTAGTGTACATGTCTAGATATGGGAAACAATGGAAACATTATTTCTATTACAATAAAATCATCAATCTAGATCTCAAAAGTCAAAACACCTTACGCATTCTTCTTGATTTTATGAATCCACTAAAAAGTTCTTTGAAGAAAAAAAAAAGCAATTAAAAAATGCGAGAAAACAACATGGCATCATAAAAAAAGTCTATT